CTTAGAGGTGTCAAAAGCTATTTAAGGTAAATAAGATTAGCTAATTATCTCAAGCTACAATAAACGTGCGTGGCTAAGGTTAAGTGTCAGGGTTATATGAATACACGCATGGATTGAATAGTTGTTTGGATTAAATGGAATATTTACAACGATAAACAGCGAAACTGTGTAAAACATTGAAGGAAGGTATCTTTGGGAAGTTCTCTTGTTGGTGAGGTTACGTAGCTAATCGTTTGACCAGCTTTGAGATTTTGGGTTGTCTGTATGTATTGTTTGGATTCCTAGTTAATTATTCAAATACGTATTGCTTGCTCTTTTGTTTATTTAGCAGTTGGCTGCTGTGTCTCGCAATACAGATTGGATTTCATCATTTGATTGCATTGGCTTCTCGGCATTCACGATATCTACCCTTTCATATTAAAAATAACAACGTCGTCATGTGGAACAGGTCACTTCACACCAGGCATTTAATAATTGGCACTACTAGTTTATGGTGTGCTATTATTATTTAGTGACATATGAACTTCCACTATTTCAATCCCCAGACAGCTATAAAAATACCCTAGGATTTAATTGATAGTTACAGAGATTACCGCGCAACCCCTATTGAGTATTATATCAAAATCTACATTATTAAGTATCCGTTAAGTAGCCATTTAACCAATAATACTTTTCAAATGAAAGGTAGGCATGGGCACCAACCGATACAAACTAGACCACGACTGAACTAAGAAACTGGAACATGGCGTAACCAGAATCATTCGTGTTAACCGGTTTACCTTTAATACGATCATGTCGAATATCCACAAAATCTTATTATAATGAGTGTTCCATGTGAACATAATGTAGTTTACATGCTGTCATCATTAGCTACTATGTAGTCTTTCTTGATGAATCGGAAACGGAATGACCAGTTAAAATATTGATGACGGGCCGAGCCCAGAACAGTATTTATGATCTGCACTAGTGCCACTCAAAATTTGCGAGCATACTTCAACTAACACACGCAATTACTAATTTATTAAATCAAATTTATTCCTTTCGCCTCAGTTGATTACATTTATTTTATGAAAAAAATATCGTAATTATCCCCGCCCCAAACCCCGAGTTGTTAATTGAATTAATTGTATTTCTTATAAGAGAATATTTTCGATGATGCTGCAAACCTAAATTCGATTTACTATTCTTGATCAGATAATAAGCAATGTTATATGCCTTCATACTTTATTGTGATATATAAGGGCTGTGTTATATTAGATCATTCGCGTAGATATTGTAGAATGTATGATATATTGCTTGCTGGGAGGACAGCATGATTCAATATATTTAACGATTAACATTGTGATGTATGGTCTTTATCAAAATCAACTGATGTCAAGTGTACTTTTGATCGAGCGGAACTTCGGAAACGAATTGGACATTGAGTATTTCATGGTATTGTTCAGCAACTTAAGCTTGTCTAGACCGATTGCATCAAAACATTCTCCATTAAAACTTGTTTTTGAATTTTAGCCTTTTGTCGTTTTCTCCATTTCCTGACAGCCATTTGTTCATGGTTGGTTCTCTCAAGTAGATTAATAGAAATGTCTAATTTATCCTCTAACTATTACCCCAGGGTGCAGTCCCATTGATCTGGTCAGAACTTTAGTACCATAAAACTACGACTATAATTTTATTTACTGTAACGCAATCCTATTTTCGAATATATACCCACTCGCTAATACCTAAGCTATAGAGCTAATAGTAATGATAACGTTCGGAATCACGTGTGTCCCGTCTCGTTAAGATTCTAATAATGAGATAAACAAGTTGACCCTTGTGATGCGTGTTAACCCTTCTTCTGTCAATGGGTTTATCTGGTTAGATATTGACCACCTTCTATGATATTTAACAAAGACATTTACCCCTTTACCCTCGTAATGAATAAGTAGTATTTAGTGTAATGCATTAACCTTATTATTTCCATTACAAATCCATTGATATAGAAGATAGTTCGGCAACAACAAGTTCCAGCTTTCGCAGTTCACGCCAGATACCACACATCAGGTGGACAAACAAAGCAATCTTTAGCCTGGGCCGGAAATGCAGGCGTTCAGCGATAAAATGTATGTTCAAAGTCATCCACACACATCCCAACCGAAAGTGACGAAGATATTTGCAAATGAGATAAAAATCGCGATCCAGATTTTCCTACTAAACTTTCTAAAGCGTTGAAATGGCTAGCTCAATTTAAAAATTGTTGTTTCGAATATTTTTACGGATGTAGGTTTGTTTACTACTTTAGGTTTTAGTTTGGCTTCTGTGTTCATATAGAAACTGTCAATCGATTGTATCTTAATATTGGCTTCATCTTTGGACAACTATTGTAATTCCGCAAAACAATTCAACATATAAAACCGACTGAAAACAACAATTTTATTTGTGACCTAGATCAATGATGTCTCGTTATTTTGGATATGTTTCCTTGCTAATCACAAATGGTTCTGTTAAAATATAACAAAATTGTTTTATTTAGTAACCGATTATGTGGTAATTAATATGATTTACTAGTATCAGCCCATGTACCACAGCCCTATGCGGCTTAACCTTAACCCCAGCTTCAAATCTATTAAGAAATAATAAAGATATTAAATGGTAAACATAGTGTAATAAACACAATAATTTTGTTTTTGGAATCATTTTTTGTCAATATCTGCTAGATATCGCAGGATAATATTCCTGCATTCTGTTTGCTTTGGCACTTGTATATTTTATATTTCCAAATTACGACGATTTAGAGATTGGGCGATAAACAAACGGCTATTGGTGTAACGGCGTTAAAGTATGTTATTCATATTTAATTTTATATCTTGTGAAAATACAATATAGTGTGTTTATTGTGTGTTCGAAATTCCAAGATAAAGAAATAGGTTAATTGTGTTTACGTTCCAGATTTAAGTATTTATATATTATTATACTCATGGCTTCAATTTGAAAATATATAATCTCAAAAAAAAAAAAAAAAAAAAAAAAGAAAGAAATGTTTTATACGCCATCTTGATGTACAACACCTGCTTTGTTGAAGATTTCTGGAGACTGAAAATTTTAGTTGTTTACCTCCCCCCACCCACCTCATCGATCTACAATACATATTATATTTTTTTTTTCTCAAATCCCTTCTTTTCGTGGTATTTTTTTATAAACTTGAGTCGTTTTGTTGTGAGATGAAAGCGAATCGCTCTTCTTTCTAGTTATCTAATACTATATCGACCATTAAATAACTTTCAGGCACCCATCATTGCACAATATGACATCAATGCACAAGTTGGCTTCAATGAGTAAGACAGTACATTCTGGTATTAAGATATCGAGGTGTATTTTAATTTACTCGTTTGGTTATTAAATAATGCGAGTCGCGCTTAGTTCATTTCTTTTCAAGCAATAATATCTTTAACGCTAAACAATTTTAAGGGTTCATATCTAAGAATGCAACTTGACGCAAAATAATTACAACCCTTTAATTACGACTCTTTAACCAACAAATCCGCAATAATATTTGGTTACCTTCGTACACGACAACTCCGCTCGTGTATCTTTTTAAACAATAGTATTGTTCAGGCTATCTGAATGATATTAGGGAACAGGATCACCCTATATCAAATCCTTCTCTCCGTTATATATGTTACATAACGATATTTTGATATATGACACAATGTAATCATAGCCGATTAAGATTTAGTACAAGCTTATAATGTCGCAAGCGTCTTAAAGCAAACGTCTAGCATATCTAGTGTGTACGACATATATATATACTAGTATACAGCTGGACTTTTATAATTCTTGGTCAAGATAACATTTCTCTATTGTTTTCATTGTTGTCTGGGCGATTGTGTCCTTGCCATGTACAAATGTTCATCGTCTAATTAAATCTCTGGAAACATCCATTTATCAAAACCGTTCACAGAGGAAAATAGAAAAAAGATAAATTTCAAGCTTGAATAATAATTAAATTAAAACACACTCAAACCACGAGTGAAAATGGGTCACACGTCCTCGTGTTAAAAACAAATTAATATCATTTTTATTAAAAACCACATGAATCTGAGCATTAGAATTGATCATTGTGAATTTAGGATTATTGGTGTTTCAAACCAATGGTTTAGGTTCACATTAACAGAAGTATTAAATGAAAAAGCTTTTTGTATTTGTGATACTTATTGCACTCTGTTTGTAGCTGTACACCGAACTGTTCTGTATTTTCTACCAACACTTTCTGGGACTTTGATCTTTGGGATTGACATGTTCTGCTAGATTGCATCTATTCGAGGAAATCCCGTTTGATTTCAATGTTGGGTTGTTTAAAATGTTCTGAGTTAGGATTAAGGATGTTGGAAATTTAGTTATTTACCCTATTTACTGAAAATATTGCGAGATCCTGTGATCCTGAGGGGCTGAGAAGGAAAATGTTTCTAGTCGAACATTTGGATGGTACTAAAATTGGGGTCCATTTGCACATAATGTTCTTTTAAAGAGGTCAATTCTTTGAAGTGATTAAAAGGAAATCTTTTTCTCAAAATACCTTGACGAAAATGTGTGTTACATCAAGATTGTCATCAATCCCCACCGTGTTTCACATGTGTTCAAAATGAATTTGCTTTAATTTGAATATTAAATCACCGAGAAGTCTCTTTAATGTGAAGGATTAGAAAGTTTTTACCACTTGAAATACACCGTGATGACTTTATAAACATGTCTCTAATGTCAGATCACACGATTTCTTTTTAACTACGGGCAAATCAAGCTTTTCAGAAATTTCCTTTTACTTCACTGCATCTTGTTGCGAAACTATGTGAATGCTACCGTGCGCAAAGGTTTATTTGATCTTATAGAAATAACACCGTGTAGGATATTCTACAGGTTTCGTGTATTTATTGCTAAAATTAATTATGTTTTTTTTATATCCTTATATATTTGCCATGGTCATGGGGTAATTTATTGTATATATCTTTATCTCTTTTCAGTTTTCCCTAAAATGGACCCAAAGGTGCCATTAAGAAATTATATGAAGATGATCGAAAATAGATGCCGAACTAGAGATTGAAGCTATGGGTTTATTTACCAAATATTCCAACATATGTTGTTGCCGTTGCCGATCACTTAACAAGAATATACTAGTTTGTGTTAAACGGACATCTATCCGAATTGAAGTTTTGTGATCGATTGAATTCGCCAAAATGGATTTGGATGATGATAATAATAGTATGTTCCCTATTGACAACTCTACGGAGGAACCGTTCAGCGGTCCGTGGCATTTGACCCCGTTCAGTGAGCGCCATCTGATAAGTACTAGCGTGGTGTTGGGTTTGATGATCCTTTTAACCATCATAGGTAACGTGTTTGTGATAGCCGCAGTTATTTTGGAGAAATCTTTACACAATGTGGCGAACTATTTGATTCTTTCGCTGGCTGTTGCAGACTTGATGGTGGCTGTGCTCGTGATGCCCATCAGTGTCATCACTGAGATTAGTACTGTGTGGTTTCTTCACGCTGAAATTTGTGATCTGTGGACCTCGTTTGACGTTGTGTGCTGCACGGCGTCTATTCTCCATCTTGTCGCTATAGCAATGGATCGTTACTGGGCCATAACTAGTATTGACTACATGCGCAATCGTAGTGCCAAGAGAATAATGTTGATGATTGTTTTGGTTTGGGCAGTGGCTCTCTGTGTTTCCATCCCGCCATTGTTCGGGTGGAAAAAAGAATCTGATGACCCCGATCGAACGGGACAATGCATGATTAGTCAGGACCTCGGTTACACAGTGTTTTCCACGGCGTGTGCCTTTTACGTACCAATGACGTTTATGATCGGTATTTACATTCGAATATGGCAAGTCACCAGATCAATTATTCGCAAAGACAAATTCGGCAAAAAGAAAAAAGAGAAAAGGCGGAAGGAAGAAGTGACAAAAACATCAAAAGTCGAATACAGCATTGTGTCTAACTGTAACGGAAATCAGTCGCCTAAAATCAACGGTAGAAAGACGGAAAACGGCAATTCGGCGGCGCCGGACGAAGAACACTCCTCCACGGCTAATTCAGATGAAACAAAAACGACAATGTTGGACAAAAATGCCGATACGGCGCTACATTTTCAGAAACAGAGAGAAAAAATTGAACTGCGACGTGAGCGGAAAGCCGCGCGTACTTTGGCAATTATAACGGGGGCTTTTATGTTGTGTTGGTTACCCTTCTTTATTGTTGCGCTTATTGGACCTTTTCTTGGTGACTCCGTGGATATTCCTCTTCTATTCCGGAGTTTTATTCTGTGGCTTGGTTACTTTAACAGCCTTTTAAACCCAATTATATACACCATCTTCAGTCCGGAATTTCGGATGGCATTCAGTAAAATTTTGTTTGGAAAATATTCTAGAAAGAAGCGACCGCGATGACATTATGAAAATGTTTACCTTTTATTGAAACTGGACCTTAAAATCAGTGATATTTTGATGATTATTTTTTATTTGTTAAAAAGAAAAATATACATGTACGTGTATATTATGACACATGTGTAAATTTAATGTTTTCGTTTTCCATTTTTGTTCAGTGCCATAATATATACCAGAAATATATTATAAATATATACTTGTGTACATAGAAACTATATAAGACAACTGTTAAACTTATTTATACATTTTTAATTCGGCGGTCGACGATTGGTTTTATTGGCAATAATAACGACTTGCGAGCTTGTGATATATGAAGGAAATATGGATAACTAGATTGCAAAGACTATAATTATTATTACCCAATAATATTTTGGTAATTATAATATTCATGTACATGTATTAAAATTATAGCAAGCATGTTTCAACCATTATTTCATTATTAGTATTATTAACTGATAGATTAGATTTTATGAGTTTAGAAATAGATCAATATTAACACGAGTGTCCTTATTCCAAATAAATCTCGTTTATCTATATCAAGTAGTTACTACGTGAACAACCCGGAGACATATAATACGTCTTTGAGCGTGATTTAAGCGATATAGGAATCCCTTGCAAACTACTATACTGTTAAATTTACATCTCATATTGGAATATAAGTTCAAAAAGAGGTTGAAATCCGTTCAGTATTTACCATAATATGATGGATTGAAATTTTATCGATATATGGCTCTCCCAATGTAAACTACCGCCATCTTTATATTTCCCAAAGTCTAATTGATGGGCCTGTTTTCATCCAGTTGAATCTGAGAGATTATCTACAGTTGATGTTTTTATTTTTTCTTGGTGTTTTAATCCAGTTGAATCTGAGAGATTATCTACAGTTGATGTTTTTATTTTTTCTTGGTGAAAAATGTTAAATAATCAATCCGAGTATATATTAACGTGGATTAAGTCTTGGGAAATGTTTTGTTTCGGAAATATGCCAATCACGCAAAGTTACTTTAAATATCAATAAGACTATACTTACATTTCTCCCGTAAGGTAATAGAAGGGGGACGGACACATCTTTTGCTCGTAGATATGCTTCACTTTCAATGAAATTAATAAAAACACTTATAAACATTTTCTTACATCTGCCATAATTTAAGTTGCAAATATCTAAACCAAAAGGAGTGTAGGAATGTATAGGTCCTGACTCATTATGGCAGACTTTGTGAAGGAGCACCACGCCGGAAAATCTTAAGGCACATTCTCAGACAACAGCGGGATCTAATCTCGCACCCCTATTTCAGCAAGTCAGCGTCTTACTCACTGAGCCACCGTGGTGCCTGTCGTTTTATGTACTGTTTGTCTCTGATTGGTACCAGTTGTTAGATTATAAAATATAAAATAACACAATTCATACATGTATTCCCTAAACTTATCAGCAACAGCAGTTGCTTTATATATTATTCATGATCTAGTTTTGAATAAGTGTCAAAAGTGCTTAAAATGTCATAGTTTAGACGCTAACAAATATCACAGAAAGCAATGTATCAACATAAATAGTATACCTTTTTATACGCCCACATTGAAATGTGGTCGTATATTGTCGTCGCCCCCATCCGTCGGTCCGGCGTCCACAATAGCTTGTGGACGCTCTAGTATAATGTTAATATCCGATTGACTTTAAATTTATATACAGTGTTTAAGGCCATAAGACGAAGAAGCCTTTTGATTTTCAGCGATAATTACTGCTATGGTCCTTGGCCACTTCAAAAAATCTTGTGGACGCTCTAGAGGCTAAAGTTAATAATTTATACACAGTTTTTAAGGCCATGAGACGAAGAAGCCTATTCATTTTCAGCGATTTTCGATAATTACTGCCAGAGTTATGGCCCTTCTGGATGCTCCAGGGACTAAAGTTAATATCCGATTGACTTTAAATTTATACACAGTGTTTGAGGTCATGAGACGAAGAATCCTATTGATTTTCAACGATTTCCGATAATTACTGGCAACGTTATGGCCCTTGATCACTTTGAAAAATCTTGTGACGCTGCTCTAGAGGCTAAAGTTACCATCCGATTGACATCAGATTGATACGAACAAGTATATTGAGACGAACAAGTATATTGATTTTCAATGAATTTTTTTGACTTGAACAGTCCATGATATTAAAAGTTTCGCATACTAAACGTTAGCATGGGGCATAACTTTATAGAAACCAAACAAATTCTAATGTTTTTCTGATAATTACTTTATGAGTTGGTACTCTTAATCAGATTTTAGTGTATTATAAATGTTTCATTACCGAAAAAAGTAAAAATATGCGACAACACTTGTGGGCGTATGTTTCGTTGCCTGGCAACCTATCTTTATTCTGAACGGACTACGACATACCATCCGTCGAGTTAATTCGTTAATTAATGATAAAAACATTGGAATGTCAGTATCAATATCAATTGATTGCAACGGTTGGGGGTTCTTCCTTAATGTCCGTAAATAAAACACGGGGTTGCTAAAACAAAACCCAAGTGAACATTGACCCGATTGACCAAGATCTGTTTTATTTAAAAAATATAGAACTGACTATTAATCGTATCATGCTGTCAATATAATATAATTAAAGAAACAGACACCGTTCGGTTCTGCAAATACTACATATAACTCAGTTATTATCTCTGAAATAATATTATTTCTGTCAGAAATGATGAAGCGTAGCAAGAGACATTCGACGGTACATAATACAGGCAATAAATATAAATCACTTGTACTTATATCTACACATGCATAGATGACGTTTTACTCAGTTCGTACGCCATTAGCAAATTGGATTGAGCACACCCCCTCCTTGTGGAAATACTAAATAAAGAATGAATGGAATACAATTTTCTCGGCGACAAACACAATGGAGATCCAGTTAGTGCATTTACGCCACTTGTTCAGAAATGCTTCTAGAGTTCTTTCAAATAATGCCCGACAACCATGTTTTTCTGACGATAGTACAGAACAGCTAGAACTTGAACATATAACTTTATATGGTGGATTGTCCTCCAAATTCTGTAATACCTTTAAGCTCTTATAGAACATCAATATATAACCTTACTAGTATTCGAAAGCCCTGAATACATATTAAACAATCGACGAACATAACGCACTGAATCAAACCGAATACTGTGTACACATATAATTATTAGAAGGAAAGGAAACAACATGTATAAGTTGGACGGCCCTATAACACCCCTTCTATCCTTTCTTCTTAATAGAGGGTGCTCGAAAAGATCTAGACATACTTATTTCCGCGACAGTCGGGATACGAATTAAATAACCATCAATTGACAATCTATCCAAAATACCAGGTAAAATATGTGTGTTACAACAACATTATATTTTTCGAATACTTCAAATACACAGGACACAATTCTATAGAATACAATTACTATTTTTTACTGAGCGACGTTTCGACTTAGGATTCTGTAGTTTCTATCTTTCTTTGATACAAGACTAATACATTCTTGTCGAAACGTCCAGTATAATTACCAAATGCCATTGAAACGATTGATCAGAAGAAGATACGTCGAGACGCGCTTCTTTAAAAAAATTAAATAAATAATCTACATATTTTTATGTAGGCACATGCAAAAAGATGCATGAACGTTATTATCCATCGGGTGATATACTTCGTTGATGACGTTCAGGATTAGTTAACGTATTTAAACGTATTGTCGGCTTATCGGACAACTCGGGTCTATTAATTTGATCCCTCTCAGTCTTTACAAGCGTAGTACTTTCAGGTAACTATGTGTTTATAGAGTCGACGAGACATCATATTTTATAAATACATTGACATATTCATTTGTTGACGGATAACAACCAGCAGATCGCCAAAGTCTTTTTAGTGAGTCAAAAGCACAAAACTTTTAAATTATATAAATTATATAAAACTTTTAAATTATATAAATTATATAAAGCCTGACTGTTTAAGTGTTCGAAAGTCAATGATATACTGCTGGCTGTTTTGCCGAAATGTATCATGTCAATCTGATCTGTATCATATCTCTCGTTATAAGTATCCGCGAAACTTATTTCAGAACGCCTTAATTCTTTTTAGCTGAAACGTTCAGATCTTAATATGCCGTTTCTTTACATTTTGATGAGCATAGCTACACCCCCGCTCCACAACTGCATCAACGTAAGGCACTTTCAGTTGCAGACTTCTTCATTAACACTTAGGCATGGTGAACAATCAGTGACATAAATCCCATACGAGCTAATTCGAACATGGGGACCATTGTTTTATGCACCGTTTCTTTACATATGACATGAAACTTATATTTTCTCCCAAAACCCCACATAAAACAGAAGCCATGTTCATTTGGGGAATGCTTCATTAAAGCCAGGACATTGTAAAAAAGAAATGGCATTTCCCTTGCGAATTAAATCAGATATGGAGGACATTGTTTTAATGATCCGGCACAGTGCACCACTAGTATCATTGCTGTTATAATATTCTGTATTATTCTATTCCGACGGTAGATATTTAATGTTTTGTTTCTGCATGTATTATTATCAAAGTAAGTTACGCAACAATAATCTGCTCCATACAATAATTATAATGCGTGTGATTTGAATTTCAAAGCCAATACACCCCCTTTCATACACAAAGGTGGGCTGTTCGCAATTATCATCTATCATTCACACAGAAAGAGGAATTTTCAATTAACTGTGTGCCTATATAGGGAATAATTAGAATACGCATATTCTAAATAATATATGCTATACATTTTCAAATGTCAAGTGACGTCATTGTTGTCGCGATCATTGTCTTTTTTAAAAAAATAATCAAGTACATTAATTTGATTGTTTATGCCTGACTTGCCGATGCTGTAATCATTCTTCTCTATTAGAAATTTTCTGAGAAATAAACTGTTTTTATACAACATTCTACACAAATATTTTATAATACTTGCCATCCCAGTCGTGTTTTATTATATATTTACAATACAGATCATAAAGTTACGTGTACATGCAGATTAAAATGAGTGAGTGATGCTATATTTATTACATTTGAATATAGACTAATCCATTGCGTCGTAAATATATATACACGGATCAAATTAGGCAGATTAAACAACTGATGAATTCTAGTTCTGATCCATTGTAAAAGTTCATCATACACAGTTGAATATCATGTTAAATTAGGTTGTCTTCATAAATCATACCCCCCCCCCCTCGCTTTTAAGGCCCCGACTTGCGTTATGCAGGGTTCCGTATTAGATCCGTTGCTCTGAACCACCTACACTCTGACGGTAACAAGTTATATATTGCGAAAGAGCCTCAGAATAGGACATCTTCAACACTCATGGGTGGAAAATATACGTCCATGAAGCACTTGTTTTGGGGGGGGGGGGGTGGATGGCCGAATGGTTAGCATGCGCGCGCTGTATCATACGGTCTGTCATTGAGTCAACTGGCGGGGTTTCGATTCCCCGGTTGTACGTGACAAGGAGTAGGGTCGCCTGTCCAACCTCGTGGTTTTTCTCCGGGTCCTCCGGTTTCCCCCCACTGCTAAAGACCCCTACGCCCAAGCGAATTATTGAAATAAAATTGAACCATGTGTTAGTCCCGAAATGACCTAGTTTGTGTCGAGTGGACGTTAAATCCCATTTCTCTCTCTCTCTCTCTAGCACTTGTTTGGTGTTACCCAAGGTCCTGTTCTGGGACCCTTTCACTGCACTGACGTTATGGGAAGGCAATAAAACGGGCTGACCTCACAGCACCCGTCTGTCTAAAAGGGGCTTATGGGGCAATTTATTAAAGTTTCTCTTGATTATAGAACGGAATAATATGTTCATTGTTGAAGGGAAGGAAACACAGATGGATTGGGGATATCATCTGTAACGAAATAATATGAACCGCAGACAATATCGATATGGTAGATATTGCATAAACAAGTTTTTATCGGATCATTGTCTGCATATGACATGTCACAGTTTTTGAATTATCAATTTATCAGATAAAATATCTATAAACAAGTGGGTACCTGTTATTTTGCAAGATATGGGAATTACTCAGTGAATGACGTCACACATTGTATTCTTTCATACTATATATTATATAGTTCCATATTAAGATAGTAGAG